GCGCTCCCTGTGTTTGTAACGTGAGACTTAGACATATTTAGAAGAATTTTAATTTATGTGGTAGCACATAGGCAAGGAAAATTTTTATAAAATATCAGCTTTTTCTTTTTTCCCGGTTCTGAGTCAAAAAATTCCTCACGAAAGTATTTTCGTGCTTTTACGTGACCTCGGTGTACGTGGAAACTAAGTTCAAGTTTGTGAGGTCACACACAAGCAGAAAACACTCTCATGAAATCTCAGCTTTCTTGCTTTTGCGACCCAAACGAGCCCACGCATGGGATCTAAGCGTCGTGAAGACCAAGTTTAAATTCGCTGGTTAGCACGCAGGCAAGAAACATGTCCCTAAAACTTTAAGATTCCTGCTTTTCTGGTTTCCCAGTTAGTAACCCGGGACAAAACGCACTAGGACCACGCAAAACATACACAAACACATACACACAGGGTCTTGACAACAGACTTGCTGTGCAACTGTTGCAGCACAAAACGCTTATTGTTGCGACGCATGTTGCGTGTGTGTATATATGTTTGCATGCGTAAATGTTTTTTGTGTGGGTGTGTGTGCCTAAGTGTTTCTGCTCGGCAGTACCAAATGAGCTTAGATGCTGAAATTTTGCTCGTGTGTCCTTAGCCAAGTGCAAGTCCAAGGGCGTGATATCAATTTCCAACTTTCACGGACGACTGCATCGCATTTACATCTAATTTGGGAACCACAAAAACTGTGGATCTAAAATTCAAGAAGGATTTTATGCGCTCGCCAAAAATTCTTAGATTGCGACACTGAAAATTTTAGATTCAGCTTTCATACACGCCCACTCTACATGTACGGATACCCGCAGTTTAGCGAGAAATTTCCAACTCAGGAACCAGACGAGTCAGGAAACTGAAATTTCAGGACGGATGTTTCCTGACTATATGTGAACCGAAAATTTTAGATCCAGCTTGCATATATGTCTGCCTTTCACATATGAACATATACAATTTTGAGAGAAATTTTTTAACTCCAGAGCCAGGCTAATTAGAAAACTGAAATTTGGGGAGATGATTCCAGGACATGTTTTTCACCGAAAATTTTTGATTCAACTTTCGTCCACTAAGTCTGGCTTACGGACCAAGAAAGCTTTGGTCGACCAGAGTATTCCCGAAAACTTCTGCGCGTACCAAGCAGCAAAGCAGCATTTATTTTTAAAAGCAAGCGTCAGCTTGACAGAGCTGCACAAAACGCATGATCGCACTAGCTATCCTTGTGCGTGCTGCTATTTATTTAATTGGTAATAAGACTAGTTTAAACCCGACAAATGTGGTTTGTGCTTTTTCGTAACAGTTTCGGTTTATCAAAGAGTTTTCACAATGACACTGAAATGACTCAGGATGAAGATGATCCGTATCGTAACGATCCAAAGCGACATCCAGCGCTTCTAGTAAATTCTGAGAAGCCATTCAATGCTGAAACGCCGCCGGAATTGATCCTGGACGACTTTTTCACTCCTAATGAGCTGTTTTTTGTCCGCAACCACATGCCGGTTCCCGATGTAAGTTCTTCAAACAGTTTCGGAGGGAATGCTTGATTTTAACTTCAGTGAAATAGACTGATTCTGGATTAACTTTGTTATTCCGGGAAACTTGTTATGTTGTGGCTAGACGAATTAGTGCATTTTTTTCAAAGCCCTTAACCTAAGCATACAGCAACAATACGGTGCTCAGAGAAAAACGTCCAGCCAGAGGTATTTCTGGCCGTAACGGCGGCTGAGAAATATTCATTTTAAAATGATATCACCATGCGGCATTTATGATATTCATTTTTGAGGGCAGGTCAAGGTGAAGGCTCACCGACTGACCATAGATGGGCTTTCAATTCGGCATCCACTGGTTCTTTCCGTGGACGATTTGAAACACAAATTCAGTCACGCGTCTGTTAATGCGACATTGCAGTGCGCCGGTAATCGTCGTGTCCACATGTCACAACAGAAAAAGGTAAAAGTCAGCGTGGCATCAGCGCATTTTTATGCGTTTTTGCTGTGCAACGCTAGGGCTATAGCGCTGCTACAGCCAGCAAAAACGCATATTGACGATAGGCTGTTTGTGTGTGTGTGTGTGTGTGTGTGTGTGTGTGTGTGTGTGTGCGCAAAGCGAGTGCATTTTGTCAC